ATTATAAATTATAAATAAATGAAAAAAATAAATGAAAATTGTAAAGGATAATAAAAGTGATAAATAGGTAAATAATTGAAAATTGTAAAATGATAAAAATAGTTGATGAATAAATGTGGTAGATGAGGTAATGTTGTCTTAATATAAAAAACAAAGATTTAAATATTAAAAACTCCTAAATAAAGAAAATGAAGAGTTAATGTTTAAATATATAAATGGATACCCTTCCATGATTTTTATGACATCTTTTTTCTATGATTTTTCTCTGTACCCTTCTATCTTTTTATTCTTCCATCTTTCTCTCAATCTCTAATTATTAATCACTTTCTCTATGCCAATGTATCGTATTTTTATTTTCATCTCTACAATTTCTTTTTACTAATATGGTGAGTTTCAAATATTTTTTTTTTCTCATGTTTCATATTGTAACTAAATATAATATTCTATTTTTATTTTCTTATGCTTTTTTTTTCTTTTTGTCCAAAATACATATATTATTATATGAAATAAGGATTATTATTCTTTTTTATGAATTTTTTATAAAACATATGATATTGTTCTTTTAAAAAAATATATAATTTTATCTATTTAAAATTTATATATTCTTTTCTTTGTAGACTATTAATGAATATTTTTTTATGTGTGTGTTAAGGAGAGAACTTCACTAATGGGATTAGAGTCAATTAGAACAATAAAAATGTTGATTCATACATTGAATTGAACAAAAAATGCATGAGTTTGATAAAAATCAAGTCATATGAAAATTTTTTTTTTGTTTTTACAAGAAAACATTATATTTCTTATTTTATTTATATTATACTCTTATTACTTTTTTTAATTCTTTTAAATATAAATTTTACTTCGCATTTCTTTTAAATTGTATATGTATCCAATATTATTGCTACATATATTTGAGAATATGCATTCAATTGTATTAAAATTTCATTCAAATCAGGTTTTTTTTTTTAAAACTTTGATTTAAGTATTTATATTAACATATCAAAATAGTTTGCAATACAAGTTAAGAAATAGAATAGGAATAGAAAAAAATGACAGGAAATTAGAAATGATAGAAATAGAAGGGATAAGAAAAAAACTATAAAATAAAATTTTGTAAGTTAAGTAGTGGTAGAAGAAAGAGTTGGTAAAAACTTATTTAAATAAAAAAAGAATTGTTTTTATAATACTTTAGGTAGATTTTACATATTAAGAATAACTATGATTTAATTTTTTATTAAAATAATAACTGATACTTTTTAACTTTAACTTTTAAAAATCATGAATTCGATTAAATAAGAATTTAAAATAATTAAGGAAAATAAAAAAATAATAATAGAAGTATGAGATAAAATTTTTTTGATTTTAGATTAATAATTAATAAAATTT